TTTAAATAATTATCCGAATTTGACATCAATGAGAGATTTGTTTGTGTATACAACTTAATCAAACAAAATCTAAGCAATGAAAATTGCTTTCTAATCGTTGTATTGTGCTGTTAACAAAATCATGAATAGGGGCTCAACAAAAAAAAAGAAATGTTCGATATAAGGACTTAATGAATTGTTTTTGTTCTATTGTTGGTACTATTTTTAATAATCTAATATATATATTAGAGAACTAAGCACTAGAAGAACATTAAGAAGAGAATGCCAAAGTCATGATGACTATTGGACACTTAACCCTAGCTCTTCTACTTGAATTCTTTTTTAACTTCTAAGAAAATATCAAATCTTAATCGAGATTACGCTGCAGACTATTCATGTCGATTATTCGATGCGAGTAATCGTGAACCAGCCACATCGATTATTCTGGCTTACTTTATGAGTTTAATTGTTTAATATAGATGATACTACAAACTCATTAATTGTATAGATCTAATTGCAATGTCATCTAACAAATTTTATTATTACTTATAAAAATAATCTTTTATATTTGAAATTTCATGAGAATTAAAAAAAAGATAAAAAAAACAACAATTATATTTTTTTTCAAAGGTATTAATTATGCAAATATAACTGCAAGTAATATGATATGTTCAAGTGCTGGTTGTTCATCACAATCAATAGCAAATCAATTAGGTATTGCATCATTATATCCAGCCGAAACTCGTATATCACAAATAGGTACAACATGGCTTGATGATTATTATGATTGGTTACGTCATCGTGGTTCAACACCATGTTGTCGTTTATATGAAAATACAAGAGAATTTTGTTCAACTAATTCAGTATCACATAAAAATTGTCATGTTTGTACACGTAGTACAACACGTGAAAATATAACACAAGAAGAATTTCAAGAATATTTACCTTTCTTTTTAAAAGATAATCCAAATATAAAATGTGCTAAAGGTGGTCATGCAGCACATGGTAGTAGTGTAAAATTATATGATAATCAATCAATTATTGAAACAAGTCTTATTATGGGTTATCATAGTCTTTTAATTAGTTCAAATGATTTTATTGATGCTATGCAACAAGCATATAGTTTAACTAGTAATATAACAAATATATTAAAAAATTCTGGATATGATATTGAAGTATTTCCATATAGGTAAATAAAAATTTAAAAAAAAAAAAAAAAATTTCATTGATTTTAATTTTTTTTGTAGTATATTTTATGTTTTCTATGAACAATATTTAACAATATGGCATGATGCGTTTATGAATTTAGCTATATCAGCAACAGCTATATTTATTGTTACATTTATTTTACTTGGATTAGATATTATTTCAGCTTTTATTATTACATTAACAATAGCAATGTAAGTGAATTAGAATTAAATATACATAGTTATTAATTAAAAAATATATTTTACGAAGGAAATATCTAGTGATGTACCGAGACCGAGACTGGACCGAGACTCTCGGTCTCGGTCGATCTCGGTCAGTCTCGGTCTCGGCCGAGACTCTCGGTCTTGGTCAGTCTCAGCCGAAAAGCTTAAAGAAATATAATTTTCGCCCGAGACAGAGTAGCACACTTATATATGATAAAGAAATGATCGAGACCGGCACTACTCAATACCAAGGTTGAGGCTAGCCAAGACCGAGAGTCTCGGTCTCGTTCATTCTCGGCCGAGACAGACCGAGATCGAGGCAGACCGAGACCGAGACTGAGCGAGCTCTCGGTCTCGGTACATCCCTAGAAATATCTACATACTAAATTATGAATTCAAATCAACACGAAAATGTTATACTTTCACACTAAGCCATAATTATGTATCAGATTTGTTTAGCTATTTTCCAAAGTGAGAGTATCTGTGAAGTATTTGAGTTTTATTATTAGATAGACTTGCCTTCGGCTAATATAACATAATACAGATCGATAGAAGACTTGAAATAACTAAACAGATCTGAGATATAGTTATGATATAGTCCAAAAGTATGGCATTTCCACTTTTTGCTTTCTCCCTTAATTCAAACAATTTAGTATTTATTATAAATTTAATTTACTTTTAGGATTACATGTGATATGATTGGTATGATGTATTTATGGAATATTGAATTGAATGCAATATCACTTGTTAATCTTGTTATGTCAGTTGGTATTTCACTTGAATTTTGTGCTCATATATGTCGAGATTTTCTTTTATCATCACATCGATCACGATTAAAACGTGCTGAACATGCTTTAGCTTATATGGGTAGTTCCGTAAGTTTAAATAAAGATTTTTCTTCTAAGAAAAAAAACTTGTTTGTTTGTTTTGTAGGTCTTTAGTGGTATAACATTAACAAAAATTGGTGGCATTGTTGTACTCGGTTTTTCACATTCTCAATTATTTCATATATTTTATTTTCGAATGTTTATTTGTATTGTTTCATTCGGTGCTGCTCATGGCTTAATCTTTTTACCAGTATTACTTAGTTATATAGGTAAAATAATTAATAAAAAAAAACAAAAAAAAAAAAAAAACTTTCTTTATTTAAGGTCCAAGTCCTAATCGCATTCGTATGTCAAGATCTGAATCAATACAATTACAAAAAGAAATTTCATTAACAGTAACATCTTAGAAAAGCAAAAAAAAAAGAAAATGACATTAACTCAGGATAATACATATTAGTTTTAATTTTTCTTTTTTTTTTTGGAAAAAAAAAACAAACGCAATTCTAAATTGCGCAAATGAATAATATGTATGTTAATCTCATTTTAATCAGCGAAAATCTATATTTTGCTTTTTTTTTGTTCCCTAGCTAGCGTTATTTTATTTTATTCTTGTTAAACATTTGTCTTTTATTGGCGTTAGCATTTACCGTCCATTATCTATCTATAATTCGCTGATAAGATTCTTTTGAACACATCAAAAAATGATTTTTCTTTTTGTTTGGTATCTTGTCTATGTTAAATCACTATCTAATGATGTGTGCGTGTAAAAAGACAAGTCAGATGTTCCTATTTTCTTTTTTTGCTTTTCTAAAATCTGTTTTCTTCTCATCTATATTTGTCGTTTGCCTAAAGTCTGTTTATATTTTTTAGTGCTTTTTTTGTCTCGCTCTCTTATCTCCGTTCTTTCCTTGTTATTTATCGTATGCATCTTGCTTAAGCACAAGAATAAAAAAAACAGAAAGATATACACAAGCATTATAAATCATTGTTCTTTTCATATAACTTGAAAAATAATGATCTAACAAGATCAAAAAAAGAAAGCAATATGACAAGAGCTAAATATTTGTTATCAGAATTCTTAGTAATATTAATTATTCATTATATATAATCATATATCAATTAGTTGATAGATGAAAGAGCGATAAACAAAAAAAAAACAAAGATTTTCCTCTGATATTATTTTTGCTTTTCATAATCAAGGTCATTCATATTTAAATATGCAAATTATGTTTTTTTTTTTTTATCAAAAAAAAAAGGTAAAAATAAAAAAATACTTTTGTGAAGAATGTAAAACAAAAGTTCTCAATTAGATAAAATTTGCATAAGACAAAAAAAAACTAAATATTAATGCAAATTAGAGTTATGTTCAATGTTGTATATTATAATAAGGATTAATTTTTATTTATCAAGGATGTGTCCAAATTTATTCATTCATTCATTCATCAATTTTGAGTTTATATTTCAATATAATAGAGAAGATGTCTAGACTAGAACAATCTTATAATGATTTCGATCTATACGTTTCCTCCAGAGAATTACAAAAGTTGCACTAAGAATATTAAATAATGAACCTAAAATAATGTCTATAAGTAGATCATAAGATTCTTAAAAAAAAAAGAATTCAAAAACTTTTAACATTCAATTAGATTTTAGAATAGTTAAGAAAAAAAAAACAGACAAGTTTTGTATGGAAATAAACAAAATTTCAAATGAAAAAGATCCTTGGTTTTAGTTTTCTACTGACACTGACGAAGGAACGTTTTCAACTGTTCAATCGCTTTTGAGTTCAGACTCTGTGCGTAAAGTAGGTCACATTGGGATATGAAAAACCCCAAAAGGATAAGTGCCCTGAGGTTTTCTTTTCAGAGTTATAGGCATTTTACTGCAATTTTAGCTTATGGCATGGCATATACCAAAAAACCGAATGGTAGTATTTCAAGCTGATACTCAGCCCATAGACAGACCTATTACTGAGCAAAATGTCCTGAAAATTTAAGTTCGAACAAATCTTTCCTTCGCGATATTTTAGAGTCTCAAAAAATAGAATATTTTAGTATCATTCATAGGATATGAGTGATTCTTGGAAAGAAAACATTTGTTCGAACTTAAATTTTCAGAACATTTTTCTCAGCAATAGGCCTGTTTGTAGGCTAAATTTCAGCTTGATATACCGCCATTCGATTTTTTGATATATATCATGTCATAGGCTGAAGTTGCAGTACAATGCCTATAACTCTGGACAGAAGACCTAATGGCACTTATCCTTTTCGGATTTTTCACACCCCAATAGGATCTACTTTATGCACAGGGTCTGAACTCAAAAGCGATTGAACACGTTCTCTCGCGAGTCCTCTGATATAAAAATTTAGCAAAGCTATCGTAATTATTTATAGAAGGTCTAGAAATTTGAGATTGAATGGCTATTGACCTCTTCGATTGGTGGTATTAATGTTATAGTTCATATTAATCAATAGGTACGTTCCGTGGACTCTTTTGAATAAATTAAAAAAGAAATTCCTATGCATAATATGCAATTTATTATTAAATGTATAATTTTTCTTTATCAAGCAACGAACATATTATTATTATTATTATTATTATTATTATTATTATTATTATTATCAAATACAAGAAGAAGAGACAAAAAAAAACAAAAGAAAAACATCAATTAACACATTTTAGAGGCTTATATATATATATATTGAGCTATTTCATACATATTTATACAAATCTATATACAAAATTTTTGTTTTATTTTCGTAAATTAAATATTGAATTATAATTAACGATTGGAATTATTAATAATCAACGGTCTAGTTAAATAAAGTTTATTATTTGGATCAGCATCAAACACTGGATGAATTTTATAATATTCAATAAGATCATTTAATGATTTAAAAGAACGTTTACCAATAATAAAACGTGTATTATCATCTGTAGATTCAATACGAAAATGACGTATTATATCATCAGCTCGAATGCTTAATGAATAATTTCCAATCTATTAAATACAAAAAAAAAAAACAAAATCTTACAAGAGAATCTCAAGAAATGATAAATCACTTTCGTTCATTAGCAAAGCCTCTAGAAAGACTTGCACTTATTGATCTTCCTTTTTGTACTCGAAATTTTTTTTAACTATCGCATAGCTTTCTACTCACGAGGGAACATTGCCAACTGTCACATTGCTTTTGACTCAAGCGTATGCGCATCATGTACGCTCTGATGATCTATGACTACTCTGAAAAAAAGTTCCTGTTGCTAGCTTATTACTACCGAGATATTGCATTTTTACTGTTTATTTAAGAAAAAAAGCCGTGATTTCCCTGAAAAACTGAGTTTCGAATTTCAACTTGAAACTTTGCATGGAGATAGGCCTCAATGAGAATAGTTTATTGTGAACGTTTCAGATCTTTTCATTGTTTCTATCCTAAGATATAGTTATGGTAAAATCGTTGATATCCACCAGCAGATTCCGATATTCTTATATCAGACTAGGAGCAATCAAAAGATCTGAAACTTTCATAATAACCTATTCTCATTGAGGCCTATCTCTATGCAAAGTTTCAAGTTGAAATTCGAAACTCAATTTTCTTAGTGTTCTTGAGGGGGATCACGGCTTTCTGCTTAAACATACAGTAAAAATTCAATATCTCGGTAGTAATAAGCTAGTAGTACGAACTTTTTTTAGAGTATTCATCAATCATTAGAACCTACATGATGTGCATACGCTCGACTCAAAAGCAATGTGACAGTTGGGAATGTTCCATCGTCATATATCAGACCTCTACATAGACACAAAAATATAGTAAAATAGTTCGATATCAAGAAAGAAGATCTAAGATTTTTCTAATTTTGAATAAACTCTTGATAATGAACGATTTATTAGTGTGTAAGATAGCTTTTAAATTTTACCTTTCGTTCACTGTTTCGTATAAGAAACTCTCCTTGTTCATTTCCATAAAATTTTAAAATTTTTTCAGCATCATCTCTTGTTATTGAACCATAATACCAAATTTCATTATCATATGTTGAATCATTCAAAGATTTTCTTAATGTTAATGTTGTTAAACCATCAATAAGTGTTAATGGTTCATTACTTAATATAGATGGTGATGTACAATTTGAATTTAATTTATCAGATTTTATTAATGCTGTCCATGAATTATTTTTTTCTTGTTGTTGTTGTTGTTGTTGATTATTAAATGTTAAACATGTATCAAGTTTACCATCAGAATGTGCAAATTTTGATGATTTCATAACAAATGAATATTCATCATTTGTATTTGTTATATGTGATGGATGAGAATTATGACGATTTTGTTGATGATTATGATTAATATCGATGATATTTGAATTAGCACTACTTGATGATGATAAACCATTTGATGATGATGATGAATTATGATATTTTAATTGATTTAATAATGAAAGAGAACTTAAACCATCATTTGTTTTCTTAAAAAAAAAAAAAAATTTTTTTTTTTTTTTTTGAAAAATTGATTTTTTTTTTTTTTTAATTTTTTGTTTTACTTCAATAAGATAATTTGATGGAAACCATCCACGTTGTTTTTCATATTGTACAAACCACCAACCATCATTTTTCTTTTGTAATACATTAACCCATATACCTTTATTTAAACTAATTTCATCTTCACTATTAATTAAAAATAAAAATATATTTCATTAAAAATAAATATTTTTCTATTTTTTTTTTTTGAGTTACCCTTCAGCATCATATCGAAATTTAACAAGAGCTAAAGAAAGTATACGTTCATTATTATTAGTTCCATTTGTAATCGGTGGTTTTTTATTGATACGTTTGGAGATAAGTTTATCAAGTAATGAACGTTTTTCATGTCGAGCAAAATTTGATGGAATGTATCTAAATAAAGAAAAACTAATTTGTATTTCTATTATTATTATTATTATTATTATGTTTCTATTTTCAATATTTGCATTGAATTACAAATGTCAAAAAAAAAGAATGTGCTAAGCATATAAAACGAACTCTTTTCTAATGCATGATCAAGGTTCAAGGTCCATTAAATTTTCAGATCTATCGTACAACGTGCTAGGTTATTAATAAAATGAAATTAGAATAAAAACAAAAAGATACAAGAGAATGACACAAAGATTGTCTCGAGAGATTTACAATGAATGATTCTTATCGATTACATATGTACCTATGTGAACTAACAGCAAGGGAAAAAAGAAAGTAACTTTATATATTGAGAAAAGCTCATTTTTAATTAATATTGATCAACTGTTCAGTTTCTACTTATGTACTTACCCGATTTCATCAGAATCAACACGTTTTACTTTCCACCAGAGACATGAATCATCAAGTAATAAAAGTCGTTCATTTTTAACAATTGATAATTCATGATTTTCTTGTGCATTATAATTAAATTTTGCAATTACAATCTCGTTACTACCGTCTAAACATAATTTTGTAACAAAAAAAAAAAAAAAACAAAATAAATCATCAATTCAAATAAACACACTTACTAATGCTACTAATATTATTTTGTTGCATATTGGTAATAATGTCGACGGCATTCGATCTATAATATATATTATACATTTACATATGTCTATCAAAGAAAAAAGAAAAACGAGAACATGATACTATCAATCTGAAGCTCATTTTCATTTCTTTCTTTCTTTTTTTTTTTTTTTTGAATAGTTTTGTAACAACAAAAAAAGAAAAAGAAAAACCATCAAATACTTTCTATTACTATTGGATAAGAATAAAAAAAAAAAAACAAACACAGAACTCATAAACATGACCTTTATAATCAAATCAATGATGATACTTGAAAAAAGAAAAGAACTTCACAGGATGAGTTACTAAAAATATATAATAGAAAGTTGACAATGTCAATGTATTGGCATGCATCATTCATTTCATTTCTTCTTTCCTATGACTTGCCTACGGATATTAATACATCGTACATACACATATACAATGGATCAGTTTTTCTTTTTTTTTTTGTACTTCTTCTACTTCTCTCTTCGGGTGTTCATATATATATAAGAAAAAAAAAGCCTTGAAAAAGCACCTACTCTACAATTAACTTGCAGTTTCAGGTGACCAATATATTAACGAATGAATGAATAACAATAAAAGAATATGAATGTTGATAATAATAATAATAATAATAATAATAAGACAGATGGATTCTTAAAAGTGTCTGTCAACAACTGCTACTATTGCTGAAGGACATTTCATACGTAAGAGAAATAACTGAGCAACGACTGACACTATCTAAAATAAGAATAATGTCGCATTACATCATGGACATTTTTTCTATGGATATGATATGTACGATGTAAAAAAACAAAAGAAAAAAAAAGAAGAAGAAATAAGGAAATAAAAGAATACGATTAAAAGTATATTGTCATCTTTGTTGTAGCCATCATTAAAATCAAACGATCATCGTAAAACTTAAAGGTGACAATAAAAAAACCGAAAACAAACAGATAAAGACGACGACGGCGCGACAAAATAACACTCGAACATTTGTTTGAATAGTATCGGTCTCATTTACAACGTATATAAACAAATATACTGATAATTGTGCTGTGAGAATACATAATCTCTTTTGAGACTGCTTCACTGACTATATATATATAAAGATATCTATGTGCATACAAAAATAATAGATAGTAGTAAATTTTTGTTGCTGACAAGAAATATATAGCAGATGGGTGTATAATAATAATAATAATAATAACAACAAAAGCTAATACGAAAAAGAGCCTGTGGCAGTTGTCAACAATGATCATCTATCTCTTTATAACAACAAAAACAAAAAAAGAGAAAATAATAGACAATAAAAAGACGCAACAATAAGCTTATCTTCGAGTTTTGTGCTTTTTTTTTTTTTCTTACGTCGTTTCGCTTCAAAATATCAAAACAATAACGAACAACCACACAAAAAAAAAATCTTCTCCTTTACTTACTCTAAATTTATCCAATAACCACAGACAATATAATAGATCAAAAAAATATAATATATATATATGAATAAAACAAATAGAATTTCTTTTTTTTTTTTCTCTCTCTGTCTCTCTTTCGCTTTTTTTTTTTTCTTAGAAAATAAACATTGATAGTCGATAAGACAAGAACAGAAGGTCAATTCAATAGGTGTAACTATCTATTCAATATAAATCATTGATTGTAGCGTCTTATTAACATTTATCAAAGAAATTGTATTGGTTCATATACACATCAATCGTATAAAAAAACAGCAAAACTTCTTTGTCTTTCTTTTTTTTTTAAATATCAGCTTGAACAACATTTTGCTTCATTTAACTTAGAATATAGATTAGTATTTAAAAAACAACAACAACTATGTCTACATACAATACTCCAAAGTATTTTTTATTTTGAACGTTTTTTTTTTTCTTTTGTTTAAAATAAAAATTTTTTTTTTTGTCTTTATAAAATTTAGTCGTCTACGACATACACCAAAAACAACTCGTACCTATGAATCAAGTGATAATGGAATACCAAGTCCTGCACGTTTTCGTTCAAAACGTAATTGTAATGATGAAAAGTAAAAAGATCCTGAAAAATTCTGTTATTTTAATAATAAATCTTTTTTTTTTTTCTCAAATAAAGTTCATATCGAAAAACAAAATTTGAACCAAATTTTGATGAAAATGCTAATGATCAATTTCATGAAGGAACTTTAAATAAATTTTATATTAAAAATAATGATGAAAAATTAGAACGAATAACAAAACCAAGGTGAAAGAAATATATATAAAATTAAAAAACAAAAGATTTTTTTGTTTTTTTAGTTTTGAAGAAGAACAAGAAGAATTAAAAAAATCTTTATCAAAAGATTGGTGTGATAAAATGGATAATGAAGAAGCAGAAGAAAAAAAATTACATAGGTAGATAATTTTTAAACCAAAAAAAAAAAGAAATTTTTTAATTGAAATTATTTAGTTTTATTTTATATCTTAAACAATTTTCTATACATGAAAATAAAACAACAGAAGAACTTCTTTCATCAATTGAATGTTGTCCAAAAGGTTCAAAATTATTTTTTGTTTTGTAAAATTTTTCATTTCTTTTTTTTTTAATCATAGAACTTTTACGTCGACAAAAAGAAATTAGTAAAGGAAAATTATCAAAAATATATGAAAATTATATATTGAATATACCTCGGTAAATTAAAAAAAAAATATATATTAATTTTATTATTATATGTATTTGTTTTCTTATTATTAAAAAGAAAATATCGTATGCGACAACATCCACGTACACCATGTAAATATGCAAAAATGTCTCGACGTGGTTTTGATGGTGCTATTAAAGCATGGCGTCGAAAACTTCATGAATTTAGTGGAGATAAGTATGTGATTTCAAGAAAAAAAATAACTCTGACTCGAATACAAACGCTTGCTTATTATATCTGTATAAAAACTAATATACAAATAAGTTGATGAAATATGTCCGGTGGATTATTTTTTGACATACATAAAATGTGTTTCATTTCGAATAATAAAACATGTTTAGTTAATCTTCTTAAAAGATTACGAATAAGTTTTTCATGTCAAAACTAATTTGCAATCTTGTTGTAAGATCTAAAGATTTTCTCTTTACTACATAATCAAATAATGTTTTTCACATAAAAAACATTTTTTTATGGTGTATAGTATAAACATGAATAAAATAATTTCGGTTCTGTTCAAATCAGGATTGTAATCAGAAGAAAAGTAAATTTTCTCGCATATTCATCTTCTACTAATTAATTACTTCCCAAGTCAGGAAGTGGCGTAACCACATGGGGTGGCCAGGTGGGGCTAAGCCCCACTACCAACTTAGAGATCGACCAGCTGAGCCCCTCCAACGTTAAAATCCTGGTTTCGCCGCTAGCCAGGAGTATATCCATCAGATAGAACCTAATGATTTATGAATATGCTGAAAAAACTCTCTGAAATGTCTCACAGTAATCATAATTAATCAGTTCTAGAAAACTATGTGTGTTTCATTGATGTCAATCATCGTAGAAACAAACAATATTTACTCTGATGAAAGAAAAAAATTTTCCTATCTATTAAATATTAGTTTATTCGGACAACATTGAAATGATCTCGTTTTTTTTTCCCGAGTACAAATTATGAGGAAATGATCTTGGAAAAAATTCATTAACGTTGAATGAACAAAATTAGAGAAAAAGATCTTGATTTGATATGTAAAAAGAGAAAATGAAATATCCTAGTTTATCTGTTTACTAATAAACAAAATACAATGATTTTATATTTATTAATATCTAATAAGAAAAAAATGTATGAAAAATCAGCCCTTCGACAATGAGTATTTAACCTTCCTTTACCATTTCTTTTTCCAATTAACTGTGAAGTTATTCGAACTTCCCTGATCATCATAAGACCTGTTCAATGAATACACGAACAGAATGTTAGTAATCACATGTTATTTCAGACAATACTTATGCGTATAGTATATTGTACAGGAAGCTTTGTATATGATGCTACTCAACCATTTGCCCGTCATCATACATCATATTATTAGATGAATGATTTTAACTCTTCTGTTCATTCTTTCTATTCACTATATAACCATACGCGTATATAAAGGGTGTTCATTAAGTTTTGACCCGTTTAATCAATAAATTTATTGATTAAACAGATCAAAACTTAATGAACACCTTTCATGTAGAATAAATCAAGATCTTTTCCTCCAATCACATTGATTCAATGTTAATGAGTTTGTTTTCCAGTTTATTCTATCATATTTCATTGATTGAGACATATATTTATCTTAGAATAGATTTGACATATTAAGTATGATTTCTTTTCTTTTTTTTAGATCAAAAGAAAATAATAGTATTAATGATGATGATTCAATCTCATCATCACAACGTAGTGATGATTATTCAACATCATCATCAACATCAATATGTATGGATGAAAATGATGAGAATTTTCTTCCGGATTTATATGATTTTGAAGAATCACTTATAAATAATACGAAAACAATTGAATCATTTATTGATTTGGATGTTGCTAATTCTATGGATACAATTATTAATAATGTTGATTCACGTTCAGCTATGACATTTGATTGATGATATAAATTAACACAAAAATATTTGATAGACAATCCTTTTTTTTTTTTTCTTTTCCTTGTTAATAATCATATATTTACTTTTTTGTTCATTCGTATCGAATGAAAAAGACGGAAACAAAAAAAATATAAATCAGATATATTTTTTGTTGTTTTTTTTTTTCATTATTGGCTGTTAGATATACGCACGTTATATGATAATACTTTTGATATTCGTGTGTGGATATTTTGTACATGGTTGTTTTTGTTTTCTTTGTCTCTCTCTCTCTGTATCTTCCATTTAATTAGAGGATTATATTAAAAAAAATATTATGATCAGATTTACTTATGTAACTAATATATATATATATATTTTTTCTTGACGAAAATAATGTATTATTTTTTGTTACACTTTATTGTATTTTCTTGTTTGTTTTACAGATTGAAAATTT